CCAGCCTTTGGTTCGGGGTTGGGACTTGTGCTTCAGGTGGTTCCGACAGCTGTGGCGAGTGCTTGGGTTAGGGCTCCGTCTTTCTGGCGATCGGCCTCCCCTAGACTTGGTCCATGGCGTTTATTTTTCTTGCCTCGGTCTCGTGGCTGTGGCGGTTGGTTTGTGGAGGAGGCGTTCCACGACAGTGGTTTTGATTACTGGTGTAGCAGCCGGCCCTGTTTGGCGTTTATCTGTTTTTTTCGATTTTTTAGATTTTGGTCCTGTTTGGATGTTGCTGTAGCCTATGCTTGGGCATTGGAAGCACTTAATCCCTCTGAGGAGGGCATTGTGTTGGAGTTTTATCCTCCTTGTATCCGTTGGCTATTTCGATGTTCTATGAATTGTTATTTCAAAAAAAAAAAAAAAAGTTTCATTAAAGGTGAAATTATATGATTTATTTAATTGAATCTATAATTTAATGACATTAATATTGTCACCTATATTGATTTTAAGCACCAATGATATAATATCATTACTCCTTTTTTCTAGTTTATTCACTTTTTATCGGAAAACACCGTAAAGGGAAAAGTCAGTCTTGGAAAAATAAAATCATTAAATCTTTTGAAACTAGTAATTACTTGAAAGATTTCATGAATACCACTATTTTCCACAATTACAGTCGAAGGTTATCAATTAATTTATGAGGAAAATCCATGTTGACTTGGGAAATTAGTTGTGCAAATTCTAAATGAGGATAATGGCATTTAAGTTTCCTTTGCAAACTTTTAAAACTATAAAAACTAGACGCAAGAGTTCATGACATATCAAACGAAGATGTTAAAAAGATTATTTTCAGGTTTTTGTTCTACTTTTTCTGTTCTCAAATTCGACTTACATTTTCCTCGCTCAGTACACTTTCAACTGATGGAAACTCTTAATATTAAGGGTTACAATCGTTGATCATTGCATATCAAGTGCCTAGAATGTGGTACGAAGAAACAGTGTGCATTTCGTATCTTTTGTTTACTCTGAAGTTGGGAAATCAAGCACTAAAGACGTACATGGAGCCCTCTAAGAAGCGTGCGTCTGAGGAATTGAGCAAGTTCTCAGAAAGAGAAACAATCTTCTTTAAGAACGAGAGCAGATCACAAATATCTGTCATACGAGAAAACATGTCAATGGAGAATCAAAGCTCCACTCGAGATGGAGCTAGCTGAAGAACATCCACCAAGAAAATCAACAACATCCTAAGAGCTCCCAAACAAAAAACTGAATAGACATTGTCAGGGTCTAGAGATAAATTGGTTTGATAATTTATATGAAGTTAGCGAATTAATTCTCATTTCTATCTGTCGTGATTTAAATGATTAATCTGTATTCGCAAGAGCAATTAACAATACAAAATAGAAAGTCATGTTCACTTGATGCCGCAGAAAAATTTCACTATATATATAAAAAAAGGATTACGGTGTTTTCTTTTGATCCCATGCCTCTATGTTTCTCTCTATTATAGAGAGAGAGGATCATCCTAATACCCTTCGTATAAGAGAAAATATTAGGGCGTGTGCGAACTTCCAATAGTACGCCTAATAGGCGAACTGCAATAGGAAAAAAAGTGTACAATATAATTAGCTCTGTTTCAATCACAATCCATATTGTCACTAGAATCAACATCGTCACCATCATTATTGATATCATCAACAAGAAAACCTTTAAGCTTGTTACTAGAAACTTGTTCAGAAATACCGTAGAATAGCACATACTATATAAAGCAGCATGACAATGTTATACAATAGTTTTATGACAAATCAAGAAATGCAAAGGATGAATGCATTTTATGACCACTTTCAGAAGGAAAAAAAGGCACTTGACCAATAATGAGCTAAAATAAACCAATTTACAAGATTCCATGTTAAAAGAATTGAACATTAACATTTTGCTTACCACGTCTAACAGTAAAAGCTGAATGCTTTTACAAAAATTATCCTTCCGAAAAGTTATAATCAACTAAAATAAACAACACTTATATCAGCTTCTTCTTTTGGAAATATCTCTTTAAGTACAAGATCTGTGCAAACGATACCAGAATGCAAACTCCCAATGAAATGATACTGAAACATGCCACCCGAGCATTTGCCGCTTCACTCATAATCCACATATCAGCCTCTCTGGATAACAATTTAGCGAAAAATTGAAAAATCCAAGGAATGTGTGTCAAAAAAACGACTGCAGTTGACCAACAAAGAAAATACATTACCTGCCCTTAAGATACAAAAGATTTTCATGGATGGCTTCCACTGCTCCTTCCAGCTTTCTCAACTCAAGCTCAACACCCTACTAGAGGCACAAAATAAGTGAATGATTTCCAGACCATCGCAAATATTGCACACGTAATCCTATTCAAACTAATATAGGTAGTTATGTGTCAAGCACCAGTTTCCTTACTGCTAACACTCGGGAAATCACGCAAATTGTAATGCCCCGTCACCGTGTATAAAGATGATTTTGATTTCAGCCACCAGACTTCAGAGGACCTCATAAATTAGATGGAACAGGTCTTAGGCGACAAAATTCACTTTATTTTTCCATATCCAGATGTTTTTGAATGGAGGAAATCAGTATCTTGATTAACAGAGAATGTACGATTTCAATTCTTATATTTATTAGTTCATCTGCATCAACTGCAGATGATAAGCTGAAAGGACTGTTACTGCAGGACATTTTCTACACATTGTTGCATACTTCATTATTTAATCAACTTGTTTTCCAGAAAAAAGTATGGTAGGTATTTAGAAATTAGACTGCAAACAGCAGTACAATTACGAACTCGAAGATCTGACCTCAATTTTCTCTTTTCTTGCAACTGACTCCCAATCTTTTGCTGCAATACCTGTCTTCCAGTCGATGTTAACACTTATTTCACCACCTCCTTGATTATGGCTATCAATCCAGAAGCATGCCACATAGTTCCCAGCCTCTGTAGTTGTAAAAGCAAATTCACCGTGTGTCACATTTTCATTGTGATGAAGGGTCTTCCCATATGGTGATTGAACCTACAAGAAAACCATAAACTGTTATTTCTATTCCACTTGAAAGAAAGAAAGCAATACTCGTCATTTTCATAATTCAATGGTTAAAGTTGTAAGTCCTAGAAGACTGTCGATGTGATTTATCTTGACATAGAAAAATACTTAATAGTCATTCTCAGCTCACGTCCAACCAAAAGAAACACTACACAAGGGAAAGACAGGAGAGAAATGCAAATTCATATGGCAATTAGAATATCCAACCAACAACCAAGGAATTTGCAATGCAGTCATTTAACTTCCCAAGAACCTTTAAATGAAGTTCGATGTCGTCTTCATGAACTTCAGCCACTCAAGTCCCATAAACATAGGCAGTAAAGCAGGTCTACTCTCTTCCACACAATCTAAAAGTTATCTTCACTGAGGAGGAGAGAATTATCTCTTCCTTTCCTTTTCCCAGTAATGTGTTTCAAGGGATATATGTTGAAGAGAAACAGACTAAAAACACAGTATGTGATCAAAGATTCACTTATCAAGAAATAAGGTTCTTTTGAGTGAAATCATTTGGTTTTGCTATTGCTCCCTCTGTGCCACAAAGATATTTTGTTTCAATTTTCACGCAGATTAACAAAAATGTATATAGTTGAAAATATAATTTTTCTTACAATTTTCTTACAAAATGTCTTGAAATGAAATCCCCTCCCTAATTTTGCTTATTAATATATCGACCAGAAAATTCACAAATTTATTATTAAATTAATTTTCAGAAAATGTCCCAGATTCGCAGGTATACTATTCATTTTATACACAAACAAATACGTCAAATAAATTACATATATGAATAAAACAACGTCAACGTATGCATGGACAAACACTCACCTTAACAGCAATGGTGGGATTAGGGGGGGCAAGATCGTCGGAAATGACGATGTAATGAGCCAAAACGACAACGTTGTTCTGGATTTCCTCCGAGACGCACTTGTTCCCACTCGCCGGCATAGTCAACCATATGGCTTCGCCTTGTTGTAAAACGCACACCAATGTTAAAAGGATCCCCGCGCGCACGATAGAACCCACCACCGTCATTTCTCTATCCATATTAATTCTCTTCGTTTATCTTTGTATAGCTTGAAGAACGAGGATCTATCTTGGAATCAAATAGCATTTTATTTTTTTTTTATTTTTGGACAAAATATAATTATAATAATCTCCAATACTTAAAAAGGTAATTAACTAATTATTTTCGCACTACATTTTAATTGCATTTATGATTCTTAATCTTTGTTCATTATAGTAATTATATCATTCTTATTATCAAACTTTTCATTAGTATTAATGCATTTTGTATTTGATAACAATTTTACGTCCAAAAGTCCGTTGAAATGATGTAAAATGACTTATTTTTTCATTTATATTTTTAAAAAATAAATAAATAAAAGTGCGAAAAAAAAACATTTTCGCTCATTTAAAAGCATAAAAGAAAAATATTTTAGTATAAATAATTATTAAAGACAAGACATACTAATTAATAGAACATTGATGATAAGAATTCCACGAAAAAAGTTAAAAAAAATTCTACAATTTGCAAGATTGAAGAAATGTAGTATATCAAATAAAATTGTGATGGTAATATAACACACATACTTAAAAAGCAAAGGAATGACTGAGGAGAAATTATGAAAGACGATGTTGACCTCATTGATTTTGTATAATTTTCAATTCATCCTTCAAATATTATTAAGCCCCTGTTTGAGCTCAGCTATAATTAAGTTTTCAGGGAAATGTATTTTGTAATAGTGATTTTTTTTAAGAATGCGTGTGTTTCGCACGGATTGTCGCTAACAATTAAAAAAGATTCAGATAATTGTGTAAGGAAGATACCTCTTGAAACAAAGTCCAAAAAATTGGTGTTTTATTGGTGAAGATTTACTATTGAAAATGAACAGAATGCCTCCAAGGAGTGGAAGCACACGAGTACTAAAAAAAGTGTTTAAAATTAAACTAAGAAATTAAAATTACATATTCTCTGTTTGAGAGTGTTTGATTCGGGGTCCTTTTCTCTATGTCGTCTCTTCCTTTTATTCTTCCTTAATAATTCTTTCATGATAAACCGCTTGAAAATTGCNCTGGGACCTCGATTGGGCCTTCCTCTTTTGGGCCTTTTAGGTGGACTGCTTCGCTCTTTGGGCCTTCTGCTTGGGCTGCACTTTTTGTGTGTCAACAATTACCCCCCAATATGGCAGAATTAATACCAATTATTAATTTTTTTACTATATTCTTCCTTTGCATTTTTTGGCAATACTTGAAATTCCAAAGAATTTCAATCATTGTTACCATTTTGCTATAACCCTTCTATAATCTAAAAAAGTGCAACGTCACGAATCCCAATAAACCCAAAAGATACGCTACTTCCTTGCGCCATTACCTTCACGTCTTTACGTCGTGCGTTCTATAAAGGTCACTGTTCATTGTCTTGTTTCTTCATTACGCTTCTCAAGAATCCTTCACAACATCTGTTTCTGCATCCAATGGCAACTTCACAATCTCATTTTGATGATTCTTTCAGTTTTGAGGACTTCGAAAACCTTACTAGACCGTATATAAATTCAAATTTCCTTGTACAAGCCAATGCTGACCTAAATGAATTCTATCTAGGCCCATCATTCAATGATGCTGAAGCTTTCGAACGAGCGGCGGTGGGTCAACTATTCCCTTGCACTGAAGACCCTCCTTTTCTGAACTTCTTGCCATTGAAGCCAATCCGCGATAAAGGTATTCGCTCTTGGCCAAAAACTGATCCTAGTTTTCATAGATGGCATGCACGTATGGTAAATTATGGTCTTTTAAAGCAATTTTTGATCGTGCTAGGATTTTGGACTATTAGAAATTACCTTTTTTCCCCAACTTATAACCCAGTGCTTTTTCCAATCGCCCCGAGTTTTTGGTCTTTTGAGTATAACACTTTGGTTTTCCCTCTTGGTCTAATGTCAATTACTCTAAGGCATGTTGGAGCCCTAGCGAATCTTTCACCCTTGGGCGATACCATTTTTCCCTAGTATTTTGATTTCTAGCGTTGCCCCAAAGTTTGACAAGAAAGTTGCTGAATCTTACTCGAGCATCTAAGGCATTTATACTACTTCCAATTCTGAATCTACTCGTGCTAAGCGTATAGCCTTCCTTCAGGTCTGGCTCTGTAAATACGTTCTTTATATCCCCAGCCTGAAACCTTTTATGAGTTATCTGCCACTATCACATGAATTAGCACGTGGCATGTCTTTGAATTTGTGTTCATTCTTTTTAGTCGCCTTTTATAGAGGCATGGCTTCCCTCCAATTTCAGTTAAGGAGTGGTGCTTCTCCCACTGGCAGTGGGCCTTTTTAGCTTGCTCAATTGTGGTTGAGAGCCTATTTCCCACAGCTTGGTGCTCCACCAACTCCTCCCCCGAACAGTCAGCTGCTATGGGCTATTCATTCATCAGTTGAGCCCTATAAATATGTCCAGCAGAGATTTTTTACATTCTTTTATACTTTGAATTCAATGCCTTCTTTCTTCCCTTTTTCTCCTCATCAAATCCCTATTTACGTACGATCTCATTCTACTTTAGCTGAAGTGAGCAC